CTTCCTCGATGTTGTCTCCTCCTTCCATATTTCCTTTTTCTTCTAGTACTCGAATTTCTGAGCGGCAAGGTCATTGGATTACCGGTTCTTGGTTAAGCAAGGGGATTTCTTCGACCAACGGGTTGCGGTCGAAATGAACTTCTTTTGGAGGGGATAACAAGCGGCAGGATCCCTTGGAGGATTCTCCAAGGTGTCTACCGTCTAAAGGGGAGTCGTCATGGGTCTTCTTTGGAACCCATATGTGACATTGTTTATTGTTTGGGGCGGATCTCCGGGAAGCATCGCCTAAATCAACTCTTCTTTCTTTTCTTTCTTTTTCATTTCTCCGAGGCTTTGGCCTCCAGACTTGTTTTCCTTTCCACCAGGACCTTTCAGCGGCGGATCCCCGAACATATGGTTCAGGTGTCACGCCCCGATGTTCACCGCGTGGAATTTGTCCACCTCGGCAAACTGTTGCAGAGTGTGGATGGATTAAAAATTACTTCAGCTCACAAAAAGCCAAATGCCTAGTCGAAAATATCACTAGGATCCATTCTCAAACAATCTCCTGCAAGTAAGGATGTGGTACGTGTCCTCTAACCGGAGGTTTTGCCGCCAAATGGCACCGCAAGATAAACGGTTATGACCCGGGGCCCTCTGAACCGAGTCTTTTTTCCGCCAAATGGCACCACGAAATACCGGTTATGGCCAGAGCCAATACGCTCCTTAGTAGTATCAAATCCTTGAGATATGAATCAATATGATATGACCGATAGGGCACAAAGCCCTCTGTTAGCTAAGGTGAATTCAAATTTGTCCCCTTAGACAAACATTCACCCCAGGTCTACAAGGTTCCCTTGGACGAAGCAACACATGGCTGCTGATAAGGATCCTTCTGTTAAGTTGGGTCGACTACCTCCTCTGACTAAGTAGACCAAGGACCACGATGGCCCGGGACGACGGAACCATGGGATCTTGATCGGGTCCATCATCCATTCCCCCACCATCCGCTTTAAGTGCAAGATGGTGAAATTTCAAATTTTATATATCAATCTTCCAACCCTTCAAACTTCCAATACCTAATCTCCCAAATTCAAACTCATGCTGCTACTATATGCCAGATAACACGTATCTTTACGTATCTGATTGACGACTAGCCTTAATCGAAAGTTCTCTCTCGTTATCGGGAGGGGTAATTAACTATAGGGGGCTTGCGTTTATAGGAAACCATAACTCAGATCAGAAAGTCCTCGCGAAATGAGGGCGAAAATCTCTAGGTAGTGTCTTATTTACAAACCTATCTGCCTTCCAAAATTTACCCCGAAACTTAATCCGTTAAAACTCCCTCGCCAAAAATAAAAAGCATAAATAGTGCGGGTGGAGGCCGGGGCCAAATTTTCAGAGCCCACAATCCCCATGTTGATTTGGAAAGTTTCTAGTTTGAATTCAAATTAATTTGAATATCAAATCTCTTTCATAAATCAAGAGATCTAATTTAGGAAACCCCCTTAATTAAATAAAATCTGAAATTAAATCTTAGATTTGATTTCAATCACCAATTAAAGTCAAGGTCCCACATACATTAAACATAGACACCCTCTGTACCCTCTTTCTCTCTATATATATATCTAATTAATTCTCCCCCATTAAGACCCTCAATCAAGACCCAATCAGCCCCAATTAGCCGCCGCCCCCTTCCCCTCTCATCTCCATTAATTCCTCTCCACTTAAGGGAGATTTGAATTTCTAATTTCCCTCCCTTTCCCTCTAAACAAAATATGAAATATAAATTCAGATTTTGTTTTCCATCCACTACAATTATTACAAGTACGAAGTAAGAAGCCTCCTCCTAAACCTAGCCGTTCCCTCCCCTACACGAACCCTCTCAAACCGTTGACTCATCCCTCCCTTCATCCTTCACAAGCCGCCGGCCCTCAAGGACCCCCAAGAGTGGAAGCTCCTTCATCCATGGATGACCGATCCTGATGTAGACCACAGCTTCGCTTACGACTCTCAAGGGAAATTAGATATTCTTTAGTCATCGTTCTTCGACCCCGACTGGGAGATAGAAGACGCCGTCGATGACTACATGTATCATATACTATTCTACTTAGTCGAGACTATCAATGAACAACGACCATCCGGACAGTGGAAACTCGTTGGACATCCACCCGCGTCTCCTTCTCCGGCTACCTTTCTGTGGATCAAGACCGTTGGTGCCCTATCTCTTTTGGTGGCGTCGTTTGAATTGCTGAAATTCTCTCTCCGCTAAAGCCTTTCATAGAGCATGAGTGAGAGGAAACTTTAGGTGAATGTTCTAAATATTAACCCATGGGTTCTTATTACGACATAACTAGTTTTACTGTATTTTTCTGATATTATTTTAGTTGTTTTGTTCTTCTAGCTTGTGACTGCATGCCAAAGCAAACTTCAATTGAAAATTCTTAAAGTTAATTCTTGTGGTTCATTAATCTTAAAGTGACAAGCTTTACAATATTTTATCAATTCCTTGCGATTTCTGTTGGTATCACATCACCTTATTATCAGAGCATGGCCGCATGCTAGTTCATTTTAGGATCCCCTTCAAACACATTCAATAGACGGCTTAGGCTGGATTCACCTTCGCACAAAACATTTACATTATTGTTATTTGCTGTCCACTACATTTCTGCATCATTCAGTGAGCTTTAGGTGTGTTGGCATATAGGTTTAGCTGTTGCCCTCTATTCCTTAGCATCCCTAGCTGTCAAGTAGTGTATCCTAATGGACATGGAATAAATTCAACATACTTAGACTTAATCGTAGGACATTTAGGCACTGTGACCCAACAAATTAGAGAAACCCAAAGCATTAGCGAAAATACGATTGACTTTAGTAACCATAGCACCCTAAATGAAAATAAAGATTTTTATTTTTATCGGCGTATTAGTAGAACCGAAGTTAGAAAGGCTTTAATGAAAATGAAGTGTGGAAAAGCTATTGTACCTGATGATATTCCAATAGAGGTGTGGAAATACTTAGGAGATGAAGGAATTTCTTGGCTTACTAAACTTTTTAATATTATTTGGAAGACTAAAACAATGTGCACAAGATTGTGCGAATTATAGAGGAATTAAGTTAATGTGTCATACTTTAAAACTATGTGAGTGAGTTATGGAGCATAGGTTGCGGCGTGAGACTAATGTTTTTCAAAATCAATTTTGATTCATACCGAGTAGGTCTACTATGGAAGCCATACATTTATTGAGAGGTTTGATGGATAAATATAGAGAGAATAAGGAGGATCTACATATGATATTTATTGATTTAGAGAAAGCATATGATAAAGTTCCAAGAGAAGTGCTATAGAGAGTTCTTGAAAAGAAAGGAGTTAATGATGTTTAGATTCATATCATTAAAGATATGTATACAGGAGCTATTACTTGTGTTCAAAGACAAGGTGATTTGACTAAGTATTTTCCTATTTCGGTTGGATTACATCAAGGATCTTTTTGCTTTAGTCATGGATGTTCTCACTAGACATTTGTAAGAGGTTGTATCTTGGTGTATGGTGTTTGCTGATGATATTCTTCTTGTTGATAAGACTATATAGGAAGTTGAAGGTAAACTTAAATTATCGAGGTCAACCTTAGAGTCTAAAGGTTTTCGCTTGAGTAGATCTAAAATTGAATATATGGAGTGTAATTTTAGTAGTAATAGACCTAGTGGGGGATTTGTGACTTTGGACGATCAAGTCATTAATAAGAGTACACATTTTAGATATCTTGGATCTATTATTTTGAGTGATGGTGAAACAGATGGGGATATTATCAGCAGAATTCAAGTTGAATGGTTGAAGTGGAGGAATGCATCGGGCATGTTGTGTGATAGAAAATCCCTCCTCAAACTTAAGGGAAAATTCTATAAGATGGTGATGAGATCTTTAATACTTTATGGTGCAGAATGTTGCCCATTAAAAGAGAAGCATAATACTAAGTTAAGTGTTGTAGAGATGAGGATGCTCAGGTGGATGAGTGGATTTACCCTTAGAGATAGGATGTGAAATGAGCATATTACATGAAAGGTTGGAGTAGCTCCAGTGGAAGATAAGATTAGAGAGAGTCGCCTTAGATGGTTTGGTCACATAAAACGACAACCTTCTGATGACCTGGTTAAGAAAGTAGAGGTATTTGATTTGACTTATATCAAGAAAGGTAGAGATAGACCTAAAAAGACTTGGTTAGAAAATATTAGAAATGATCTTTCTTTATTATATTTAAATGAGAATTTGATTTTTAATATGACACAATGGAGAAAAAGAATTCATGTAGCCGACCCCACAAAGTGGGACAAAGGCTTGATGTTGTTGTTGTTGTTGTATATTAGCATTAGTATCATGATTTCATTCTATTTGAGCTTTTCTTGTTAAGTTTTTGTATGTTACGTTATATTGTTTTTGTAAAAAAGGTTTCTATTACCCTTCTTGGTTGGCAAAAGAGGAAATATATAAAGAAAGCTCACTATTTGTGCATGTATATTTATAAATAAATCTGAAATAATTGTGGTTTATGTTCCCTTTATCTGCCCATGAACTTAAATTACTGCTTTTGCTGGAACCAAGCACTCATACTTTCTCCCGAGTTGGAGAATTACTAGGATCCTAAATCAACAAGGTGTTGGAAAGTTAGAGAATTTGTGGACTGCTAAATCAGCAAGATGTCCTCCAATAATTGTAGCTTTGAGTTTCTTTCATCTGCCCCTAATCTTAAAATTTTCCACTTTTTTCTGGAACCAAGCACTCATACTTTCTCTCGAATTGGAGAGCTATTGGAATCCTAAGTCAACATGGTGCCCCAAAGTGGTTAGAGTTATAGAATCTGTAGACTGCTCATTCTATCCGAGCGTATAAATCTATTGGTGCTTGTTTTCCCCCACTTAGTGGGTCGGATAAAGGCTTGATGTTATTGTTGATGCTGTTGTTGTACTTTTGTGCTCTGCTCTATCTGTTTGGCTTTGTTATTCTTATTTTTGTAATTTTACAGATGGCTGAAAGATGAAAAGAAAATAAATGTTTTTGTTGAGCCTCGAGTGAAAATTGAGCTTCTTAGTGAATCTTCGGACTTCAACCTTGTTCAGACATGGAAAAATGGTAAAACGTTTCGCCTCAGCTATGCATTACATGAACCAGGCAAAAGTCTCTGTTTGCAATAATCTTTCTATTAATTGGGTATTATGATACGCTTTAATCATGACCATTTTATTTATTTTAATCTTTTAAGCATTATTTTAGGCAGAAATTTTCATAGTTACTGGCTAATCTAGCATCAATTATACCTTATTAAATTCTTGGTTTTTCAATATTGCCACAACATTTCCAAATAGGCACATATAACATGTAATTAGTGTGCATGCTCCTCCATTTATGCATTGTTTCATCGTCATCCAGTTAGATTCTAAATTTGAAAGTAATCCTAATTTTGCTAGAAAATTTTGATTTATACCAATATTTTTTGTGGCCTTTCTTTTTCCTTCGCTTTCCTCTCACATTATTTCTTATTCTCAGTTTATTTATTTACAAGAAATAATAATTGTCTTTAGCAACTTCTTAGGGCCTGTGGGCTTTTTTTTTTTTTTTTTGAAAAATATAGAAATCGAAATAGTTAAAGCCAACTTCCCTCTACCATGGACGTTACATAAGTGTAAAATTTTAATTTGCCCCGAGCACAAGAATTCTGCTATTTTTATGTCTAGTAGGTGGTTGCAAGTAACTCAATCCTTCCATAGGGACAAACAGTTTCCTTACCAAATGAAAGAAGATTTAAATTACTTAAAGAAACAAAACTGAAGTCAAGTCGGCTCATCTCTCTGTCATGGATAAAATAATTGGTGCTAGTTGTTCAATATAGGTAATAGGATGCTAATGCTGGTAATTGGCTGTGGATAGAGTTGTTTTTACCGGTAATTTTTTAACCAGATAGACACGGCATAGTCTGCAAATGTATGCGTAATTTTGGCTATGAAGTAGCTTATTACCAAATTAGGATATTATCTAATCACTTGAAAACTAATTCTTTTTAATTGCTTAAATTGCACTTCATTGATCGGCATTTTGCTACAGCTTAGTTACAATTAGTGAGTAAATCTATTCTTTGAATTGTTTTTGTTGGTCAACTTATAATGCTGAAATCAGATAGGGTTCAGTTACTGTACTGATGCATAAGTATCTAATTTATCATCCGCTCTAAGTAATTAAGTAATTACTGTACTGTTTGCTGTTTCATGGTAGGAAATTTATAATAAGACTTCTATTCTCAGTATGCCAGCATAAAACTGTCTCTAGAGTCTAGACTAGTATATTATTTTATTCTAGTTTTTGTGATAATTATATAACATTGCTCCATGCATAAGAGATTGAAATCGTAACTAACATATGAATTGTAGATGATGAAATAAAGGACCTTCACTCGAAGGTTGACTTGGTTGTTACTCTCGGTGGTGATGGAACTGTTCTTTGGGTGCGTATTATCAGTTCCTTCTCCAACATACTTTTAATTTTGTCTTATTCTCCTTTATTTGTAGTTGTTTTGATTCATAGATTTTGTGTTTTTGTTTAGTGGCATAAAAGGTGATTTTTAGAAATTTAACTTTTTAATTAAAGGTGATTTCTAGAAATTTAGTATTTTATTAAAATACTAAACCTTAAGATGAGTTGTTAGACACTAAGTTTGCTGGATTTGAATTTTTTTACAATTAGTTATGATTTTTCAAAGTTTGTTGCATTTATGAAAATTTTAAAATTTATTTAATTAATGGGGTTTTAATGATTTTACTCCAAATGAACTCCAAACTCCTTGAATCAATTCCAAAGGTCAGGAATGACCTAAGGAGAAATTCCCAAGTGTTTGAGAATTTTCTGGAATTTTTAATTATTATTAATTAATTAAATTAATTAAATATTCAATTTTAAATTAATTAAATATTCAATTTCATTTAAAATTGAATTAAGTTCAGTTTTGCTGTCAACTCAAAGGGTTTTTATTTTTTATTGATTAAGGTTTGAATTCTGGTCAATTTGAGGTATTATGTGTATTTTTTTGATTTAAATTTGATTTATTAGAATTTTTAGAAGTTTTAAAGAGTTAATTAAGGGTTTAAGCTTAAGTTGATTGATTAAAGGGCTTAATGGTTTCAAAAATCAGTGAGAATTTTTCTTAAGGCTGTATATGTCACTAAGTTCAAGTGTGCAAAGTTTTGGTTAAAAGAATATGTATCCTAATTTTTAAAATTAATTTAAATTTTCTAGACAAGGGTCCTTAATTATTGTCCTTAATGATGTCACTAAATTAAGTGAGTTTGAATCAAAGTTCTACTAACGTTTGGACAAGCATGAATGACATATAATCACACCAATCAAATCCTAGATCTAGGAGAACCTAAGCTAAGTGGTGTGTGCTTCCTAAGCATGCAATGGTTAACATAAAACTTGTAATTAAAGATTGGATTAGTGAACAATCAAAATATGATTGTTCACTAATCACCCCATTAATTCTATTCATTCAAACTCAATCAAGGCTTACAATTTCCAAGGGATCTCTCAAAGTTAAGGATTTAAATTCATATAGTCTTAAAATAGATTTTAAAATAGATCTATATATGTAAATATATAAAGATAAACCTATATATATAAATATATATTTTTAAAATAAGATAATTAAAAATATTATCAAAATTATTTTAAAATATCAATGAGAGATCCAACACCGATATAGGGAAGGAGCATCTCAGGAGGTCAAGGTTTCGATCCTCTAGACTTTGCCAATTCTCAGTTATCATGACTTGAAGGAACTCGTTCTTCGCACTCAAAGGCCTAAAAACTACACATAAGGACTTTGCAGCTTTCCCAAAAGACTCACCATACCCACTTGCTTGTGAAGACTCGCCTTGAAACTAAGTAACAAGTGAGAAATGGAAAACCACATGCACGACTATCATGCCAAGACACATGTTATTTACCGTTTGCAACGAGCCACAATTAATGATGTACTTTTTACCTTTTTTTATGTAGCTTTTTGTAGCTCTCAGATTTTTATAAATAAAGGATGATAAGACACATTTTAGAATTGTTTAGAACATTATTGATCAACTGGAGCATTCTTGTGATTTTCTTTAGTTTTTATCGCTGATTCTCTAAATCTTGTCATTTAGTTTCTCACCTAAGAGGTTGCTTGCTAGTAAGGTCGGGTGTCATCTATTGACATATTTGAATCCAACACAAAAAAAAATTGAAATTAAAAGATCCAACTTAGATCTTCAGCAAATTGTCCTAGTTTAAAGAATTATTTTGTAACTGGAAAGTGTTAATTATGTGTTCAATCCTACTTTCCTTTGGTTTTGCATGAGCTGGACCTTGGACTGGAAATTTGAAGGCTTGATGCCTAACAAAAATAAGATATTTAGAACTGTGCTCCATATTTTGTTACATTCATTGCACTTTTATTGCAATACCCTCGTACAGCTTCAATTGTTGCTCACTGATTTATCACTAGTCTTTTTTTTCTTACTTACTTTAGTATTTGATCAATATGTAAATATTTTTCTTCTATTTGTTTAATTTTTCTTGTATGTACCGGTTGTTTTTTTTTTAATTTCTTTGTTTTTTTAAATTTTTGTTTCTTTGACAGATTTATGTTTGTGAAAGCTTTGATAGTTCACTACGGTTAAGGCTAGTGCAATGATTTTTTGTCCTCATCTGGACAAATGTTTTGAGCAACAGCCATAGAAGTTTGATTTGTTGTACTTTGTTTCTTTACACAGGCTGCTTCAATGTTCAAAGGGCCAATTCCTCCTGTTGTTCCATTTTCTTTAGGATCACTGGGTTTCATGACCCCTTTTCGTATCCTCTTAACAGAGTTTGTATTGTATTTCATTCTGAGGTTTTTTTGAGTTCATTCGATTATCTTTTAACCTGATACTAATATTGTTGATAGAAAATAGATGAAATAGTAGTACTTCTTTCTGCTAAATTGATAAATGGTGAAAATGCAGATATGCCTTTACTGAATATCACTTGCAATTTGTCAAGTAATTTTGTTGTGGGTTATTCTAACGTTTAATTCAGTATAGTTCCGATAGCATTTGCGCAATCATCTCAACTAGCATGTTTTATTTGAAAAAAATTATCTGCTACCACGTCGATGGCAAGCAATGAAGCAACCTATTGCTTAACCTGTCAGAATCCTTATTAGTGTTATTGTTTTACTACTGTTTAGGATCGGCTTATGAATCCTCATCCTCCTTTTTTCCAGGTTGAGTGCTACATGAAAATTTAAACCCATTTAACACCTATCCTTTTTACACTTCGTCATTCAGTTTACTTCTGTTCTATCTGTTTTTTTAATCCTTCAGCATTAATTTTATCCACTTATCTTATTGGTTCCCACATCAAGAACGGATGTGGGCAAAGAAGCTAGTCCATGAAACTAAATTTAAGATAGGAACTTAGAATATAGGTTCCCTTACAGAAAAATTAATGGAATCAATAGATATTATGATTTATAGGAAAATAAATATTTTGTGCATTCAGGAAACTAAATGAGTTGGAGAGAAGACTAAGAAAATTGATAGTTTAGAATTTAAACTATGGTATTCGGGTAAGAGTCGTACTAGAAAGTTGTAGGTGTGATTATAGATAAGAGTTTAAAAGATAATGTTATAAAAAATAGAATTGGAGTTAGAATTATAGTTTTAAAGATTTTTGTTAATGCTAAGATTGTTAATATTATAAGTGCTTATGCTCATCAAGTAGGTTTTGATGTGGGTTCAAAATTAAAATTTTAGAATGATATAGAAGAATTAATACAAAAGATACCTCTTGAAGAAAAAGCTTTTATTGAAGAAGATTTAAATGGACATATTGATAGAGAGGTATATAATTTTAAAAGCATTCATGGTGGTCATGGGTTTGGAACGACAAATGAAGGTGGTAAGACCATATTGGATTTTTCTTTAGCTTATGATTTTTAATTGCTAATACCTTTTTTAAGAAAAGAGATGAGTATCTCATCACTTATAAAAATGGATATTATAAAACTCATATTATTTTCTTATAAGAAAATTAAATCATTTAGATTGCAAAGATTGTAAATTTATTCCAAGTGAAAATTTATATACCCAACATCGATTATTAGTTTTGGACTTTAAGATAAATTAATAAAAAATAAAAAATAAAGTAAAATGATATTCTAGGATTAGATGGGGGCATTTAAAGAATATTAACAAAAATATTTTTAAGAATAAGATTTTAGATCTTAAGATTTTGTCTACGCATGAGAATGCTAATGTTATGTGGAAAAAAGTGGTTAGTGATATTAAGAATATTGTAAAAGATGTACTTGAAGTATCAAAGAGAAAAACTCCTAATAGTAAAAATAATTGGTGGTGGAATCCAAATGTGCAAGTAAAGATAAAAAATAAGATTTGTTATAAAAATTTATTTATATGCAAAAATTATGATAATTGGGAAAGATATAAAGTGACAATATTCGATGCAAAGATCTTAGCTTTTAATGATTTATATAATATATTAGATACTAAGGAGGGAGAAAGATATATGTATAAGTTAGCGAAATAAAAAGATAGGAGTAGTAAGGATTTAGTTCAAGTGAAGTGTATTAAGGATGAAGATCAAAAATTATTTTTCTTTGAAGATGATATTCAACAAAGGTGGATGAGATATTTTGATAAACTTATTGACTTTTGTGACCTTAGCACCTTAAATGAAAATAAAGATTTTCGTTTTATCGGCGTATTAGTAAAATCGAAGTTAAAAAGGCTTTAAAGAAAATGAAGTGTGGAAAAGCTGTTGGACCTGATGATATTCCAATAGAGGTGTGGAAATGTTTAGGAGATGAAGGAATTTCTTGGTTTACTAATGTTTTAATACTATTTTGAAGACTAAAAAGATGTCAGATGAGTGGAGAATGAGTGTGTTAATTCATATTTTTAAGAATAAAGGTGATGCATAAGATTGTGCAAATTACAAAGGAATTAAGTTAATGTGTCATACTTTAAAACTATGAGAGCGAGGTATGAAGCGTAGGTTGCGGTGTTATACTAATGTTTCTCAAAATCAATTTGGTTTCATGTCGCGTAGGTCTTCTTTGGTAGCCATACATTTATTGAGAGGGTTGATGGAGAAATATAAAGAGAATAAGGAGGATCTACATATGATATTTTATTGATTTAGAGAAAGCATATGATAAAGTTTCAAGAGAAGTGCTATGGAAAGTTCTTGAAAAGAAAGGAGTTAATAATGCTTATATTCAAATCATTAAAGATATGTATGCAGGAGCTATTACTTGTGTTCAAACACAAGGTGGTTTGACCAAATATTTTCCTATTTCGATTGGATTACATCAAGGATCAGCCTTAAGCCATATCTTTTTGCTTTAGTGATGGATGTTCTCACTAGACATTTGCAAGAGGATGTACCTTGGTGTTTACTTTTTGCTGATGATTTTCTTCTTGTTGATAAGACTAGAGAGGGAGTTGAAGGTAAACTTGAATTATGGAGGTCAATCTTAGAGTCTAAAGGTTTCACTTGAGTAGATCTAAAACTGAATATATAGAGTGCAATTTTAGTAGTCATGGATCTAGTGAGAGGATTGTGACTTTGGGCAATCAAGTCATGAATAAGAGTACACGTTTTAGATATCTTGGATCTATTGTTCAGAGTGATGGTGAAATAGATGTGGATATTATCAGTATAATTCAAGTTGGATGGTTGAAGTGGAGGAATGCATTAGGCTTGTTGTGTGATAGAAAGTCCCCCTCAAACTTAAGGGAAAATTCTATAAGATGGTGGTGAGACTTGCAATGTTTTATGGTGCCAAATGTTGGCCATTAAAAGAGAAGCATAATACTAAGTTAAGTGTTGCAGAGATGTAAGAGTTTGTTCATCCTTTTCTCGTCCTTAGTCATTTTCGTCGGTAGAAGTCATCTCTCTCTTCTGTGATCAAAAAATATAGGGTCCCCTATATTTTTTGATTGCATCAATGCTCAGGTGGATGAGTGGCTTTACCGTTTGAGATATGATACGAAATGAGCATATACATGAAAAGGTTGGAGTAGCTCCAGTGGAGGATAAGATTAGAGAGAGTCACCTTTGATGGTTTGGCACATAAAATGGCTGCCTCTCGATGACTCAATTAGGAAAGTAGAGGTATTAGATTTGACAAATGTTAATAAAGGTAGAGGTAGACCTAAAAATACTTGGTTAGAAAATATTAGAAATGATATTTCTTTATTAAATTTAAACGAGAATTTGACTTTTAACTTGACACAATGGAGAAGAATGATTCATGTTGCAGACCCCACGTAGTGGGACAAAAGCTTGATGTTGTTGTTGTTGCTGTATCTTATTGGTACACCTTCTATACTTTATTTTACATGCCCAAATCACTTAAATCTATTATTCAATATCGTTTTTTTGAATAGATGCTACTACTACCATCTTTATAATAAAATCATCTGATAATCTTTCATTCATTGTTTTTAGACATGCCCATCTTAATATTCCCGTTTCCATCATAATTAATTTGTCTATTAAAGAATTATTTCTTGTTGAACACTCAAATATATATATAGGATGGAGCCATGGCCTGATTGTAATTTATAAAATTTACTTCTAAAATCTTTATGATTTTCTTATTGGGTATTACCCTTCAGGCACTTTTTTATTTTTATTACCAATCTTTAACTCTATTAGTTATCTCTTAATGCATGTCTCAATTTTTTTATAAAATATATCTAAGATACCTAAACATATCCAAACTAGGTATCCCTCTTTGGAATATTGGTTGATAATTAGTAATATCACCTCATACTAAAATTACATGTTATATATTCATTTTTGTTCTAATAATCTGAAGCTTTTGTATTTCCTATATATTTTCTCTATTGTTCTAAATTACCACTTATTTATACAAATACCTCAACAATTGGAACTAGACCATTTGCACAAAGTATGCATCACGTTTTTGATGATTGGGTGAAATGAAATAGTAACCTTGACAAATGAAATCATAAGATATCTTCTTTAAGATCAAATATTCCTTTTCCACTTTTTTAACATTCCTGAATTAATTGAATCAAGGTTTAGAATTTTTTTTTTAACTTTCCAAATCTTTATAATCATGCTTGTTACTTGTATTCTATATGAAATAGGTTTATTACTTGTATTCTATATGAAATAGGTTTATTACTTGTATTCTATATGAAATAGGTTTAGAAATGGATGTGATTTGGTTATTTTTACTAAGCTTGATGATGGGCTATATAAATCATGAAATAAAAATTGAAAATTTAAATGGATAACTTATATATAAAGAAGAAATCACTATCTTTAAGAGTTGTTTTTTAATAATACCTTTTGTATCATAATCATGAAAATATTATCTTTAGCATTGTCTTAAGCATATGAAATCTTTATAATTTTTCTTTGCTATGTATTCAATTTCTTAGTACGGCTTATTGTGTTGTATCTCTTTTTCACTGGTAACCGCTCACCACAATACGTTACCTTTGGCTTATCCCTTCTCCATTTCCTTATCAATTTCACATTAAGTCTATCACCTCCATTTTAATATATCTTCTTCTTTTTGTAGTATGTACTTCAAACACAATTTTTCTTACAACAATCTTATTATCATAAGTGTTATATCTAGTCACTCTTAATCTAATTATTTTGCATTCTACTAGTCTGAGTTTTATCACACATTCATGTTTGATATTCTCAATCATGCAGTGATCAATTTGGTTCTTAAATACTTAGTTGTTGCCTAGAGTCTTGTTTATGCACCACAACCATATTATTATTATTTAAAAATTTTGATT